ATGTGTACACACGTTGTCACAAGCGAAAATGAAGAAAATTGCAGTAAGAAGCCACCACCAAATTGTAAACAACGAAGAAATGTAAATAAACGGCTAATGTCAAAATCGTTCAACTTTTTTCCTTAATGCGATTCTAACGGGCTACCCTCCTGCCCGCGTGATCTTGTCTTTTTGGTTCATGGTTCAGTACAACATTACAGGGCTGCAAAAGTTAGTAGGAAAGTAAAAGACTATGCAATAATAGGTGCGTTCGTTTAAAATCTCCAACAGAAACCAACCAACTGCCAAATTCCGGCGAAATGTCATCTGTTCGCTCACAAGAGAGAAATATCCAAAATAGTACGCGAACAGAAAATTTGCAGAAACTTGCAAGTTAGACGAACAGCTGATATAATTTTTGTTTACATACAAAAGTGTAAAATTTAAAACGTACGAAAAGTCATCGCAAAGTGTTATACTGACACAGTTTATTGATTAAACAAATAACTACTTATTTCTTACAAGTTTAATTAGTCGCATTTTGTAATTTTTATCTTCCAAACCATCAAATTAAATTTTGTGATTTGCGTAAATGCCAACCAGCTGTTTTTGATCAGCTGTTTCCCTGTTGGCAAATTGCTGTTGGCAAAAATTTTTCCAACAGAAACTAACAGCTTCCCCTCAAAATGAAATGTCATCTTGCTCTCTCAATTTCCCCTACTTTGCAAGTTTTTTGCGTACGCGAACGCAAAAACCTGTAAGTTTTGGTTAAACATGAACAATTAACAGCTACGCGAACGAACCTAATATTGAACAGTGAGTTTATTACATTCGATACGATACTAGGGTTCTGGTTATCGATTCCAAAAAGTATCGTTTCAAAACTATCGAGTAGAAAATATCGGTATCGAATGCCAAAAGTATCGATATGGTATCGTATCGAATCGAAATTCGTGTCCCTATGTGTGATTTATTTAGCTCTTAAGTTTGACAAACCGCTTTAGTCGACCGGCATGCCGTTTTAATCCTCAGTAGGTATACAAGATTGAAGTAACACAATTAGGTGGGTTGACAGACATGTCTAATATTCTATTCAATTTATACACAAAATCAGCTGAGCTAGGAACACCACCTTATATAAATTCGCCTTGGGCTGGGTACTCTGGCGCACGTTTTTAATACGTACTGTAGATAAACAAACGTGCACGTGTGTCATTTGTTTGACATTTGGTTAGTTCAGGCCGTGGAGTTTTTAATTTTAGTATTGCGAGTTTGTTGTTTATAAATCTGCATTTTAATACAAAAAAAAAAGAATATGAAGAGGCTTAGTGATGAACGAGCCAAAATTCT